AAGCCGTTGTCACGAGGCAAATACGACGTTACGATTACAAGCCAAAGATGGAAGTGGAGCTACCAGTGAGGAACCGGTAAGTGACTTTAGTCAGATACACAAGGTTTCCATAGAAGTGTCTGTGGGTAACGAGATCCAAATTGCAGCGAGGCAAGGGCGCTTTGGCGTAATGGTTTATATTTACTCATGCCCAAGTTGGATATGCCGTGCACGCGACGTCACTTTAAATTCTGCACCGTCGCAACTTGGGTCTCTTCACCCGCATCTTACAGAATCTGGACAGAGCTAATTGGGACAGTTTCAAGCAGCGCAACTTGGCCAATAGCAGGACCATTAACAATTTTCTGGGATGAAGAATACTTCTTGTGCCCTCGACAGGCCACCATTAATAGATGGCCAGATACATCAAATTCTACTGCCACTCTCAGGAAGAGTGAAGTGCATGGTTCATCCTGAAGACGTTTCGCCCGACATACTCAATCCTCCGACAAGTCGAAGTTTATTTCACTCCGTGGATTGTACATCTCCGAAATTACAGTCTTTCTCGCTGCTGACGCAAAGATGTGCCAAGGGATTGGGTTTGACGTGATGGCAGCCAGATTCCTTCAGTTGTAGTCGCCTGCCAGCTTACGCGATTGGTGGCGAAAGTGCTGGCGCCGGGCCAAACCTAGCCCCTCTTCTCACATGCCCCAGCAATCGCAGCGAAAAAGACTTGGCCAGCTGACTACCTACCTGAGACCCTGCTCTAATCGTTGACCAAATTCCACCTACTACTCATTTTATACCCTATATCTTCAAGGTTCAACCACGAATTCGACCTTTCAGTCCTCTATTAGGCCCGTCCAACATTTAGCTTTTTTGACTGGGTAGCAAGTAATCCGTAGTCTTATGTTTTGCTTTTGCTGTTTTTCAGCGGACAGATTTAGAATGTACATTTAACAAACAATTAAGTAAATAAATGTTGGAAAGGAAGGCGTATGAGTGTTCGATAGTGTAGCGAGTAAGCTAACTTATCGGAAGGAGTATATCTGGGTTCAAGTCCACTTCGAAACTGAATGTTTTTGCCATATTCTAGTTTTATTGTGATATCTTTAAGATGTAAACCCTATGAAGTTAACCGGTGTATGGGTTTTTCAGGCTCACATACACATCTATGTGATAGATTCGGAAGCTATGGCGCCTTCGTTTACACAGTCAAGCTATTTGATCAAAACCCCTGAAGATATTCTGCCAGGAATCTCTATCGGATCTGTTCTGGCTACTGGCCCAGGCACCATCCGATACAGGTATTGATTACCGTACTCGAAATCTGTTATAATATTCACAAAGATAGCAACGGTATACGGTATCTCAAAACTGCTCTTGAAACTAAATGCCTCGGTACCGTGGGCAAGGCTGCTTAGGCGCTTGATCAGCGGTGCTGTGTGCTGTCACGGGAACTGAATTTAATTGTACGCTCAGTTGTACGGTACTGCGTAAGGCCCTAACCTCATATGAAAAGGTTTCGTTATGATAACTGCTATTTAACCGCAGTTCGCGTTCCGAATGTTATAACAAGAATGCTGCTGAGTCATGGAAAAAAGTCGTGCCCCAGGCGGGAGTCGAACCCGCACCTCACGCTTTGAGTGATGCGCTATTCCGTTACGCGATAACGCAAGGGCCGGGCTTTACCTTCTCTCAGGCTCAAAGGCATGCGTCCGCGATCCGATCAAGGTGAAGAACCTCTTGTACGGTACAAGATCGCGGAGTTTGCAACCGGCAGCGGATATCCCCTTGCTGGACTATGGGCTTTCCATGAATAATTACCGCCATACGAGGCGGCGACGTGTTCGGAGAACTCAGCATATTCTGCGACAACTCGTCGAGATGCGCCGTCCGATGAACATTGGGTCTTATTCTCTAGTTCTTGCGGCCGCTTTTTGTTTACTACTTTTCTTGAACTAATGCTTCGCAGTTGCCACATGTTCTAACATTTTTTGCGGCCTACGACCTGCCAAAGTCGATCGCGGGCGCTGTCTTTAACGGCTTTTATGCCGTAGCCTTACAGCACTCACACGTTTAACTTGGTGAGCCGGTCAGCCGTAATCGTTAGATATCGGCAATGAACCGCGAGGCCGAAGGCTTTACAAGCTTTACAAGTTCTTGTGATAACATTCGGAACGCGTACTGCGGCGTTAAACAGCAGTTATCATAACAAAACAGCTTCAAAAACTTGTAAAGCCTTCGGCCTTGCGGTTCCATGCCGATATCTAACGATTACGGCTGACCGGCTCACCAAGTTAAACGTGTGAGTGCTGTAAGGCTACGGCATAAAAGCCGTTAAGCTGAGAGGGTAAAAGCGGCCCTGGTGGCGTAACGGATAGCGCACTCGCCCGGAAAGCGTGAGGTGCGGGTTCGACTCCCGCCTGCGGAGTTCGCTATCCGCTACGTCACCAGGGCCGCAGGGCACGACTTTTGCCCATAACTCAGCATTCTTGTGATAACATCTCAATTATGAATTTGCTCAGTTATCGTGTAATCATAAGCACGTCGAATAAATGCACCAGTAATGGAATTTTGTCCTATTCAGTATCTACTCGGGCGACTTGGACCATCAATTCATGATTCATCCCGATACGGGTCGAATTACAGTAGCCAGGTATCTGGACGCTGACAAGATCGATCGCGTGGTACTGAATGTCAAGGTCAGCCTTAACTGATTCGGAGCTGGCATGGAAATGGATTATGTACATGATTTCAGGCTGAACTGGTCAACGGTGGCTCGAACCATACCCAGGTTTTGATTCTGATAGAGGACCATAACGATAACCCTCCAAAGTTCCCAATCGATATGTTAGAGATTACAGTTAGCGAGAATCAGACGCCACACGAACCGTTCTACATCGTTCAAGCCACGGATAAAGACAAGAGAAAGGTACTTCAGAAACATTTGAACTGCGCTTGAGTAGGAGTACGGGTCTCGATCGCGTGCGCTCGCAGCGCGATCTGACTGTCCGACCAATATTCGCAAAAGAGGGGTGCATCATGTGAAACATTAGGGCACTCCATAGCCTTACACATGTTGATTAATAACCCTTGACACAACGCTTGATAGAAGCTTTAAAGTTCTTTTTGGTTTTCACCTCCCTATAGTAAGGAGGGGCGTATTCTACTCCTCGAGCAATTGTATTTCATGTACATACTATTCAGAAGTAATAACTTTAGATTATTCAGAATGGTGTCATAGTTTATTCGATACTATCATCTCATCCTCCGTGTCCGGTCATGATCCAGCCACTTACCGGTCAACTTCAACTCACCGAGCCCCTCGACTTTGAAAAAATCAAGGATTACCGTATCCGGATCAAGGTACTGTAATTCATTTCAACGAATTTACAAAAATAAAATGTGCCAGCTGACTGCTGCTTCATCGTGTTAGGGAGCGCGTGCGGCGCAATTCGGTCTGATGGGGGCTGGGAGGGGGGGGGGGGCAATTTTGCTGATTTCCATCGATTACGGCCGATACTCCTGTACATACTTGTAAATTCTGTAGAGCTCAATAGTATGAGCTCCGTCTACACTAGACTAGAGTTGCAGATCTCGTCTTGGTGAGACGTGAAATTCAATAGGAACTAGTAAAGAATACCAGCTAAAAGCAAAATATTCTCCTCTAACAAGGGAGGTCGTTCAGGGCGTGGTGCGCTTTTTGAAAACGGTTTTTTGCATATTGTAGGGGCTCATGCAAGGACCTGAAAAGTGTGCTTCATTTTCGCTGCGCGCTTCCAGGAAAGGTAAAAAACGAGTGAAAAGAAATCTTTGGAATCTGCTTCGTTCTGGGCCTCTATACGGCGTAGGTCACTTGCAACTTTGACCAGTTGCTGAGTGGGGGTCCTTATAAAGGGGCTATTTGAATCGAAGCGAAAAATCGCCGCAAGTGAGCTTCCAACTTGGGTCACGTGCTCAAGGGTGAACGGCTTCTTGCAATGGTTTCATCAACGATTAAGAGCGCTACGCAGAGTCGAGCATCGGATGGCCTAGTGGATAGAGTGGAGGTTTCGCAATCGGACAGTGGGGTGGGGTTGATGGTTCGGCTCCCTTGCGTCGTGGGTTTTGCATTTTTTAGATTTCGCTGTTCTCGCTTCCATTTTGTCTGCGCATGAATATAACTCGGATATTTGCCATTTATGGGCACATTCTGAGTAGCTGTACCTCATGAGTCAGTGCTATTCAACTATTTCGATTTTCACGCACCATTGAACAAGATTGTTGCTGGACGTTGATCCTCATAGGCTATACAGTGGATCTGATTGCGAATTATAGACAATTTGGGGCCACATCTTCTTTCCACTGAATTCGTTATGTACACCCATATAGGGAACGTTCAGCGCTATTCTGTCGCCAAATTGCGTGGACGCCAAGAATAGGTGTTATATTTGTGATCAGGGCCACTGATTACCACTAAAAACGAATTTTCAGTCAAAACAATTGTTTTGACCTTCTTGGGTTTGCTTATTGGGTTGTCCGGTGTCCGTAGCGTCAACGATACTTCATCGCTGTTACGAAGATGTGAAACTCCGCTCACACTGCCGACCAAATGGTCACCTACAACCCGAAAAAGTCAAAAAAAATTTTTCGCTCAAAACTTGCTCCTAGGGGTAATCGACAGTCCTGATCACGATTCTAGACTTTATTTTCGGTTCCAGTGCCATCTGGCACCGGCATAGCGCCGAAGAGCTGAGTCTGTGCATACTAACGAAAAAGCAGTTTTGCTCCATAAAAGTAGGATTGTTCAGTTTATCGTGAATGTTTTTGTTAGGACCAATTATTTAGACAAACATGGATCCAAAAAATGAAAAATTGTAGAAAAGCAAAATTTTGTCCTCGGTGGGATCCGAACCATCGACCTATTTTTTACGTTTTTTTTATTCGTAGAAGCGCGCAGCGAAAATGAACCTCAGTTTCCCCTAATATGCACAAGACCATTTTGAGAAAGCTCACCACGCCCTGAACGACCTCCCTTGTAAGTCCGAACTACGCCGTGCGAGCCCACATTGTCTACCAAAGAGGAGTAACAGCAGCAACTCGTGAAAGGGATATGTTTAATCGAATTTGAAGAAATTAGGCTCCTATCTCCCTCATGCTGTAAGTTTCCAGGCTCAAGATCAAGGAATTCCCCCTCGGTCTTCAAACATGACCCTTATCCTGCATGTCTCCGACTTCAACGATAACGCACCGTCTTCGAAAATTCCTAACTTTATGAGTTGAGGTTGGTTCTCACACCTTTACAAAGTATCGAACGTTTTCGTCTCAGGATCGCACACTTATGTTCTAAAGGTACCTGAGAACTCGCCACTGATGACACCAGTGTTGAAAGTAAAGGCCAGAGATGCCGATTCGAGGGAGAATGGAAAA